TATAGAAGTTCGCATATATCGAGTTATAAGGTATTGTAATATAATTATACAGTTATAATCTAAATGTCCACTTCATCCCAATTCTTAGTGTGATGAATTTAGATATATCGAGTCTTGAAAGATGTCTATTGTAGTTCATTTCAAAATAAATGCTAAACGGCTGACAATAAATGAAGCAGTAATTAACATTAAAATAAATTAATTTATATATTCTTGTTTTAATTTATTTTATGTTAAACATATTAAATAAATAATTTATAGAAGTTCTAACTTGGTAATTACGATTAAAATTTATTTGAGAACAGTTCAGTTTATTATCCATACAAACGCGCGACGACATCTCCAATAATTTGCGTTTCACTTAACATCCTGGAAAGTAAAACACAACATCTTGTTTCTTCTGCATGTTTTAAGTAACAAATATTTTTGGTAATTTTATAGAAAAAATGATTAAATGTTGTTATTTTAGATATTAAAGCCTTGATCTCGCATACACTGCTTATGTGCTTCAATGAGCGATGAACAGTTTGGTTCACCGTGTTCCAAAATACTGAAATAATTTATTGGTCAGTTCATTTTTTTACTATTAATTTATTAATTGCAATAACACTCACCACTGATCACGCGCTCGTTTAGTTTCAGGACAAGCACAGCACGCCTTACATTTTGGCTTGGTTTCACCACTGGCCGCCGAGACAGCTGCGGCTTGCGACACCTCTTTTACTGGAGCGTTACCCATTATTAATGTTTTGTGCAGGAAATCTTAGTTTTAAGTTGTGAAATTACAATTTTCTTTTTAACAAATAAGTAATAATTATTTTTATAGCACTTTTTTAAAAACAATTTTCGTATTAATATACTGTCACTTGATTTATTTACATAACAATTTCAATGACATTTAATTTCGTAAAACAAATGCTCGTGCAAAATTTACATTCAAGTTCAACTTTTTTTTCGGTAAGCAAAGCAGCTGACTGAGAACACTATAAAGAACTAATCTCAATATAGTACAGTACGCTAAAAAAACTATTTGTTATGCTAGAATATTGTACTACAGTGATTATGCATGCATATAGCGTTAATGTTTTTTTAACAATATTTTCTAAATATTCGCTTTTGAGAAGCAGCAACTTTATAATAAAGTAAGAATCTAAATAATATAGTCTACAACAACACCAATAATGCACTTACCAACATTAAATCACAATTAATCACTTTTCTTAAATGCAACTCTGTATTTGAATAAAGATTCTATGTTGTTCTGTACAAAAGAAATTTAAATAAAAGTCTATGGCGTCGTTAAGTAATGCCAGCAAAGTTTTAAAAAATAAAAAATATAATAATAACTATTAAACTTATTTAACTTAATTATTAATTTTTGCATAATAGTGAGTTTAAAACTGAGCAAAGAATCTCATTAATGGAGTTTAGATGAAGCTAAAAAATAGTTGATTATATTTTACAATAAAAAGAGTTTGAGGTACAATTTGTTAATAATAATGACATAATGTAAATAAATTATTAAACTTTTTAGAAACCCACAGCTTAAGCTTATTACAAATATCTAGCTGAAGTCACTGGTATAAATTTATATTGGCAACAAATAAAAAATAAAATAAGTTACTTGAAGAATACTTATTTTAAGACTAAAAGTCGGCGCCAGTTCTTAATTTCTATTTCTATTTGCATCGATCTTGAAGATAGGTTAGTTTAAACTTAATTCAAAATTTATTGCAACGAATTTTAATTGTATTTATATACTTAGAAAAACTCCCTCCATAAGATGTGTTTACTTTTCATAAAATAAAATTTGGTCCTCATAAAATTTTTGGGAAAATGAAGGAGATGAACCAGGAGATGAACCAGGAGATGAACTATCAACCAATCATCTATCAAAATGAAAGACATACCACAATCATTCCAACCATTGATTTAAATACCAGTAGAATCAAAAATAACGCAGACTCTAATGTCACCACCACCAACAATAGTAGATGAGGATTTACTAACATCAAAGCTAGTGGCTAATGAATCCAAAACATGTATTTACAAACAGAAATTGGAGTTTTAAAAATTGAAATTGGAAAAAGGCTTTGAAATTCAAAAGAAGCAGTTAAAATTAGAAGAAACAAAACTTAAATGACTTGGAATTAAAGAAACTAGATATTGCACAAAAAGAGCGCGTAGCCACGACTGAAATTGATGTTACAAATGACTAAGACTTCTATGTAATATCTTATAGATACATACGCAGAAATAATTTTAAAAAAATAAGACGACATGTCTGTGATGTTTTTATTAAATAGTATTAAAAAAATAGTTATGTACTGTTGTAACAGATTTATACACTTGAATTTATTTATTATTTATGTACTTTAACAAAGAATTGTTCATTTTTTACATAAACAACAACATTTTAAACGTTATTATTAAATGCTATCATTATATTGTTATTAAAATGGCTTATTTTATTAAAATTTGTTTCTTAAATGATTTTAGTAATAAGAACGTTCACGTTTCCATCGCATCTTTACTTCCACTTGGCAAAATTATCTCCGTATCTTCCATGGTTGAAGTTTCCATTGAATTTTGTGCTTTTAGGCGCTGCAGAAAGTTCTGTGATATCAAATCGAGTTTTAAATGTTGTACATTGATTGCACTCCCATCCCAATCTAGTAGAGTTTTGTATTTAATTGGATCGCAGAGATTAATCATTTCTAGATAAGTAACAAAGATAAATAAATATTTAGTATCAAAATTATTACGAATTGCATAACTAATTACCCATGCCACCGCTTTTGAACTCATTCATTTCCTTTTCCAATGTGATTCTTATAACATTTTCCCGCGCTATATGTTGATTGGAACGATTTTTGCTAATTGACTGTTTCAGTTTAATCTGCTCCAATTCTTCATCGAATCGTTTCAAATACAGCAAGACAAGTTTTTCAAATTCAACCGGCGACAAGGGCTCCTTGCGTTCCAGGTCGATGTGTTCAAGGAACCAATTTAACTTCTCGCCAGTTAAATTACTTTTTATTGCATGGCCCAGGCGACTTTTGTGTTTATTGTTTTGTCTGCGTGCTTTTTTGCTGAGTGCCTTGGTTTTGCGACTGTTTGGATGTTTGCATTTTTCCAATTCCTTACGTAAATTTGTCTGTAATTAAATATAATCTTAATAAAAATGAAAAAATACTAAAAATTTACCATTTAAATTTTAAGCAAATTAGAAATATTTAATGGTTCGTCAAATCTTTCAATATTATTTATTCACTTTATTATTCCATAATTTATTTATTTTAGTTACTATTAAATATTGAATAACACTATTTACCATCTTTTGTTAATAAAATATTTTTACTCAAGCGCGTGCTACTTAATAACAAAACAATAACAAGTACTTGGGAACAGTTTCAGTTGCCGATTACTAAAAAGTACTAAGACACTTGGTGTGAAACTCTGCGATTTTAATTTGCATTAACTAAAGAAAAATCTGATCTACATTACTAATTGGATTAATGAATGAATTTGCCATAACACAATTTCAAATTAGCATGGCAAGTTTATATTAAAATGTTAAACGTGTGCCAAACATAAAATGTTAAATATGTCAATATTTAACACTTTAGCAAACTAGCATGCTCCGCGGTATTTTAAATTTGATCAGTAAATCAGCTGTTACCAGTTTATTTACTTGTAATTTTTTGGAGTTGGTTTAAACAGTTTCAACGAGCTTTATTCTTATCATAAAGAATGTTTCCATTGCAACCTTTCTATGTAGCCATTAAACGATTTAGCATTTTTGCAACAGATTTAGCATGATAAATAAAAAACGTATATAGGGCCAATAAATTAGAAATTTCACCAGAGTATACTATAAACAATAATTTTTATATATAATTTATAACTATAATTTAAAATTTTGATGAAATTTAATACTTTTGTAAGAGTTTTGTTAGTTTCTAATAAATAGTCATTTATAGATTTCAAAAAAAAAAATTACCAAGCAATTGGAATGCTATATTACTTTTAATTTTCAATCTACATCATCAGATTTGACAAAGACAATATAAAGTAGATAGTTATTATTCAAAAGTGAGTAAATCAGCCGAAAGAATTCTATATTCATAATTGTACATAGCATTACACACTTTGAAAACGGAAGTGCGAAGCCGTCCACGGACTCGACAAACGAGTGGGATTAGTCACATATGCAATACTAAATCCACATATAATTTATGGGAAGAGCTGCTAGTAAATGCTACTCGCTTCACTGCAATCCAAATCATGGCAATCATTGATTCGAGTTCTCAAAAAAACAAAGAGAAAATAAGAACATCAATCGAAAAAATTGCAAACAAAAACGAATTAGCAAATGAATATGTAATTTCTTTTCTTGCTCGATTTTATTTATTAATTGAAAACAGAAAACTTCATTGATTTATTTATTATTTACTTGCTGAATTGTATATAAAGACAAGTGAACATGGCGGTAAATCAAACTGGAAAGCAAATAAAAAATAGTGTTTTTTTTCTTTTTCTTGATTTGCTGTTTACTAAATTCTTAAAGTCAAAGTGTAAACACTTAAACCTATCTGTGGTTAAACTTCTTGACTCACGTAAATGTAAACATATGATTAGGTAGAAATTTCTTTTATTCGTATTGTACAGTAAGAACAGTAAGATCTGAGTGTTAAATATAAGATTAAGAAGTTCAGATTAATAGCAATAATAATATATGAAATCATAAAAGGATTAAAATAAATGCAAATTTGGTAAGCAAACTTTTATTTTTATAGCTTAAATTAGAATTGTAACTAAGAAAATATGATAATTGATTATTTTTTTTTCTCAAACGCTTGCTATATTGTTGACAACAACTATCGTATAAGATATTGTAGAATCGATGCCTCTGGTGCCATCTATAAATGATGCAAGCGATGAAATGATCGGAGGACATTACATTTGTGGTTGATTTTAACGTAAGTTAAGAACATTGAAAGCAATAACATATTTGTCGTTCATTTGACTTTGAGAAACATCATTATATATAATTTGTGTAGACAATTATTCAATTCATGACTTTTATAAACTTAACATCTCTTTTCAGTCACGCAATCGGTCAGTGCTGATGTATAAGAGCCAACAACACCAACAAAAATAAACAACAACATAAAAATTAAGCAGAATTATTTTATATAACGAATTATTTTGTAGGGTAAAAAGAACACATGTAGACCGGCTATATGTCTCTGAGGCTACACTATTCTAGATTTCTGCAAAAATTTTAATTCAGTTGCTAGCAGATTCTCAATTTTGTCGGGCACGTTGTTTTGTAAGCGCGGCAGCACCGTCTTTTTTTTGTTTTTCCTTATATATTATTAAATAATTTCGGTTTATAACCAAATAAGAATTGTAATTGTTAATTTAATTTTAAAGTTTTATATTCTAAATGGCTTCTTACATATTAAGAAACGGGACTACATCTCTACTTAAAAAATACTGCCCACGTCAACTAAGTGGCCTCAAAAATGTAATAAAACCATAAAAGTTTTTTAAAACATAAATCTTTATTTCAAAATAAATAAAATAATAAAAATATGTATTAATTTTGTATAAAAACAATATTTTAAACAATTATATTAATAAAATATGGAAGGCATTCTTAATAAAGAAAAATTAATTACATAACCTTTCAATTAATTGACATTTGTCTGATCAGAACACTTGCAGTTGCGAAAATAAGAACAAAACAAAATAGAAACCGAACGTGTGCTCTCTTCAGAAAGTAATGAAGTGTTTTGTTTTCATAACAAATAACATATGATTTTTATGATATAAACAAAACAATTTCGGTGTTTTAAAAAATTGTAATAAAGAAGGTTTTATAAGATTTTTAAACTATTTTTTATCAGTTTAATAAAATTTTTAAAAACATGAAAATTATAAAATTTTTATGAAACGATTTTGACAGTATCTGCTATTCGCTATGGTCATTCACACTGCAATGGCACTAAATTATGTAAATTGATCCGCATAATATTAGACGTAATTTTTATTTCAGAGTAGCAAAAAAATGCAACTTACAAAACAAATCATGTAAAGCAATAAAAATACTCTTCAAATCTTCAGAGTTAGATTTTACTCGCAAAAAATTTGATGTCTTAAATTTCAGTGCAGCCAAATTCAAACATCATTGAATGAATTAACATTTAATTTACTAATAAATTTAAATATATACATGTATATAAATATATAAGATAAAAATACTTGCCATTGCCCTTCTAATATTTGTTTTGTTTTCTTATATTTAAATTATATTCTTGAATTGTTAAAAAAGAATTTAACATATTTTAAAAGTGATGCCAATTCGTTTCAACCAGTCTTAATATTGTTTTTTTACAACTCTGAGAGCAAAAACTGCGACTGTTAAGTTGATTTCTTTTATGATAAATTTTATTTATTTAAATATTATTTTATTTATTTCATTTATTTAAGATAAATTTGTAATTTATACTTAAATTTAATGAAAAGGAAAAGTAATGATTTTTTAAATAATACTGAATGCGTCTAATTTATATCTTCCATGTATTTATGTAGTCTATTAATATTTTATGTAGTATTAACTACTAGTAGTTAAGCGCGAATACTATCATACCATATGAGAATTTTAAATAAAAAAAACCTTTGCCGTTGTTTGAACTAAATAATAAAAACGCCATGAGAATTATAAATATATTATTTAAAATATATACCATATATGTTAATGAAAAAACCAAACGATAAGTAATTTAAAAGCTTATACAAAAATTACGTATAAATTTCAATATCCTTATAAAATTTCATAAATTTTCACATTCAAATACTAACAATTTATTTTGTTTTCCTTATTTTTTTAGACATATACAAAACAATTCCGTGGCTTGCATTTAACTCCGTGCTTAGAAAAAATTGTATCCTTTAATTTAAGTGATATTGGGGAAGGTATACGTGAGGTTACTGTTAAGGAATGGTAAGTTTTAATGTTAGGAATTTTATAACGTAATAAAGATCATTATTTATGTATATTGTTACTTAGGTTCGTTAAAGTTGGAGATACTGTTGAGCAATTCGAAAATCTTTGTGAGGTACAATCGGATAAGGCTTCCGTTACAATAACAAGTCGGTATGATGGAAAAATCTTAAAACTCCATCATAAAATAGATGAGATTGCATTAGTGGGGAAACCGCTATTAGATTTTGAAGTGGAAGAGGAAGATGACGACAGTTCGAGTTCCGAAAGTTCAGATTCAGAATCCGAAGCTGATAAGGACAATAAGAATTTGAGTAGTGGTACCGATTCAAGCAGTAAGGTTGATTCTGAAAATATTGGACGACAGATTACATTGGCAACGCCTGCTGTGCGACGAATAGCAACAGAAAATAAAGTTGATTTATCTAAAGTGCCACCAACTGGCAAAAATGGACGTGTCCTTAAAGGTGATGTACTGGAATTTTTAGGCCAAGTGCCACCTGGCACCAATATACCACATCCCACCATTGCAGCAAAAGCTGCAACAACAGCAACTGCTTCAACCTCAAAGTCAATCGCAGCAGCTCCAGTAGCAGCAGATCGTGTTGAACCAATCAAAGGTGTACGTAAAGCTATGTTGAAATCCATGTCGGAATCACTAGTAAGTTTTTTAATTTTTGTGAATTGTATGAAAAAATGTCACAACTAATTTTTATTTTACAGAAAATACCACACTTTGCTTATAGCGATGAAATAGACATGACAAAATTGATCGATTTCCGTAATCAGTTAAAGGATGTGGCTAAAGAAAATGGCATCTCGAAACTAACATTTATGCCATTCTTTATAAAAGCCGCGTCGGTTTCTTTGACCAAATTTC